GGAGAACAGAAGCAGCAACGAGAAGGCAGAGAACAAGAAGGACAAAAAGAAGAGGCACACGGACGAAAAACAGGAAGCAAACCGAAGAAGAAGCGGGAGAGAACAGAAAAACCNAAGAAGGAAAACGAGCAAACACAGAACAGAAAAGCAAAGAGAGAGAAAAGGGCGGCACCGAAGAGGAAAAGACGAGGAAAAGGGGAAGGAGGAAAAAAAAAAGAAGAACCCANGAGACACAAAAGNAGCAAAGGGCGANGACCAGAAAAAGAACACAGAAGAGAGAGAAAGNGAAGAAAAGGAGAAAGGAGAGGGCAAGAGAAAAACAAAAAAACACAGGAAAACGAGAGCAAAGGAAAGCGAGGAAAAGGAAAAGGGAAGAAAAACAGAGGAGCAAAAGAAAAGGACAAAGAGAAAACAACAAGAGGGGCAGGAAAGAGAGGAAAAAACCAACAGGGAAGAAGAAAAAAAAACGGAAAAGCACAAAGAGGCGCGGACCAAAAACAAAAAAGGAAAGAAAGCAACCCACAAAGACACAAAACAGAGAGAAAAACAAGAGGACAGAGAAAGCGCGAACAGAGGCAAAAAGAAGAGCAGGACGGGAACAAAAACAGGACACAGCAGACAAAGAAAGNGAGCGGAGAGAAGGAAAAGAGGCGGAAACAAACCACACGGACCACAGCAGCCGAACCACAAAGGGNCACCACCACAGAGCGGACCACCGGAGGGGCGNGCGNGNAGCCACCNGCAAAGGANNCNCCTACTGCCAAAGGACGTGTGGCAAGTCCATGCCTCGGTTCATGGGACCCATCCCCATCCTAAGCATGGTGGGCGAGTCTGCAATCCGCCTGCAACTCCCGGAGGCATTGTGCATTATTGTGCATGCAAACAATGTCTTTTCCACACGTGTCACTGCTGCGACAAAATCTAAAACAAGCAGCAACACACACACCCCACCGGTGGTCCGCTCTGTGGAAGGCGACCCTATGTGGTTCGCCGCCGAAGAAATCCATGCACACCGTGCTCTGGCGGCTCTGGTGGCCGCCACCACCTTCGTCGAGTACTTGGTCCGCTGGCAAAACCACGGCCCCGAGTACGACTTCTGGGAGACGGCCCAAGGCTGCCGTCGAGGCTGCCCCAAAGCGGTCGAAGCCTATCACGCCAAGTTGTGCGCCAAGGGTGTACCCTTGCCCTAAGAGGCCCCTTCCCAACCTACACTGGCGCGCCGAGGACGCGTTCGCATTCAAGAGGGGGGGAATGTAAGGACGTCCGAGTGGAGTCTTCTTAAACTAACGCCAAAGGCGTTTCTTGTACGATAGGGCCTTATGGCGCTAGCGTCCAACTCAGTTAAAATATTGATCTCACCTAAAAACGGTATTCTTTAATACCAACCAAATTGTGACTTCTGACTCCTTGAGTTAGTTAGCATACGACGCAGTACCCTATAGGGACCAAGCATCATTACAAGCTGGCAAGATCACGAGATGCTGCACGCTGGCTAGAAGAATGTACAGCCTCGTCCAGTATTCCGTTGCCTCTTCCGAAATCGCAATTTCTAAGGCTTTCATAGCCACCTCCTCTGGGGCTTTGACATGTACTGGAGCTGGTGTCTAATTTCATGTCCCGTCTCAAATCGCAAGAATCGTACCGATTTCACGCATTTCCTCAAGTTTCTTTTTAGAAAAGAGCCCTTTCATAAGAAGTTCATTCCGTTATTAAATCAGGAGACAACAGCTATTATCGGAGTCATGTTGCAGCTCCGGCTGCCGAACGAATGGCCTACTTTGCCGTTCTCCTCAACGGAAGGTGACCAGCCCAAAGGTGCCGATAACGACGACATCACCAATATCATGCCAGAAGAACTATGTTTCAGCTCCTTTGCGCGCGCCTGTGCGGCTAGGCGGGCTCTCCAGCGTCTGCATGCGCACTCCTTCCCCTCTGCCGCCTCCGGGTCCAGCCCACCTGCACCTAAAAAGCCGCGTCTCCACAGTGATTCACAGATGCCCCCAACACCTGCAGCGGTAGACGCGGCGGCGACCGGCGGACCAGATCCCGCTATGTCCTTGCAGCCGGCGGCAGCGGCGTCCAGTCCGCCACAGGAGTTCTCTCTGCTTCTGACCAACTGCCGAGTCCTGGATGTTGCGGCAGGGAATTACCTAGAGGGCTTGCAAAGTGTTTTGCTCCAGGGAGGGCTCATTCGGGAGGTCCGACCCATGGGTCATGCGGGGGCCACCACGACGGTGACGGTGGCGGCGGCGGAGTCAGCAGATGCGGAGTCAGCAGATGCGGAGTCAGCAGATGCGGAGTCAGCAGATGCGGAGTCAGCAGATGCGGAGTCAGCAGATGCGGAGTCAGCAGATGCGGAGTCAGCAGATGCGGAGTCAGCAGATGCGGAGTCAGCAGATGCGGAGTCAGCAGATGCGGAGTCAGCAGATGCGGAGTCAGCAGATGCGGAGTCAGCAGATGCGGAGTCAGCAGATGCGGAGTCAGCAGATGCGGAGGCTGAGGCGGGAATTGCGCCGATTGAGGGATTTAGAACTCATCCTCCTACAGCAGTGGAGGTGGACTGTGGGGGCGCTGTATTGATGCCTGGTGCGTTTTTGGTTGGGTTTGTTGAATTCGGTTGGGTTCGGTTGGGTTTCAACCGAACGGCTGGAGGAGTCAAATGGTGATAAGCATCGGGTTACTCAATCCTTTCGACGGTGTAAAGCCTAAAAATTAGCCCAAATTCCGGAAAGATGTTTCCGGCGCACGTGATGGGGTTGAATAATGGGGGACAAAAGATGGACTGAGGCTCGTCCTTAAGTTTTCGTTAGTGCCGTACTGGGGGGATTGTAGCACCGTGCCCCATCGTGTCGTATCGCGTGTCGTGTGTTTTGTTATGTCGTCTGCCTTCATTCCTCGTGCCATCGCACGCAACTCACTTTCCCCCGGGGTCCCCCGGCTGCTGCCGCTCGTTCACAAGGTCTTTGCGACGCTCACGTACACTGTACGGCAGTCACTGCTAACCTGGCGGGCCTTATGTCGCTGCCGGAGTCGTACGTGTCGACAAAGGCGGCGCACATCCTGGCCGGCATGCTGGCGCGAGGGTTTACCACAGTACGGGACGCAGGTGCGCGGGATGTACTGACGGTGCGTACGACATGCCGTACAGTGCATTAGGCCGTAGAGGCACGTTCAGCCGTCCTCTTCCTCCTCCCTGGCTGAGGCTTGCCTTGCCTTTATTCCGGACGTTTGTCCTCCTCCGGCTCGTACTCCTCCCACCCGTACTCCTCCTCCTGCTCCTCGTTCTCATCCTACACACCAACCCTAGCACTTCCATTTATGGTCAAATTGGTTCAATATTTTATTACACAACCAAACATATCAGTACAGTATGTGTTTATCCGTGTTCACAATATCTATCTTCCTCTGGCAGCACACAGCCTTCTCGGCCCCCTCAGGGCCCTAGGTTGGGTGGTACCCCCCCCTCACCTCACCTCATGGCTCCCAGGTATGTATGTATGTATGTACGGGCCACACACACACCCCAGGTTACACCTTTGGAGGGTATAACGCAACTCTAGGAAGTGTAAGGAACACACACACGCTATGCCATTTTCCCATTCCTACATGTCCAGTCAAACGCGTATTCCTACGTAGCCCGCGTTTCTTCTCGTTCGGCAGGCGGTGCGGATTTCGGACTGGCTCAAGCCGTGGAGGAGGGCCTGGTGCTCGGACCTCGCATCTTGTTTACGGGTACGACTTCGTACGACACGGTACGACATGTCTGCACTCGCACATTCACATCGACTACGGACGTGTTACGCGCATTATATTATATTATATATTTGAAATATATTTGAAACTTGTTCGCTGCAATGGAATCAACCAACCGAACCGAATAGCAGCAACAGCCCTCTCTTTTGCAACTCTCCTCGGCACTCGACACGCGCACTCGGGCCACTCTAGGGTGTCGTCGCCGGAGGGACCCATGGGGCAACAGGGCGACCCTCGCAACCCTTCATTCGCCAGCCGTCCTTCCTAAACCCAGCGCCGTAACTTTTATGGCCCCAAGCTTGTATTTCATTTCCCACCTTTCCAAACTTACATCCTTCATCCTCTAGTGGTTGTGACACACAGACAGACACACAGATACACACACATACATACATACACACGCACATACACACTCTATTCTTGAACCGCAGCTAGTTCTACTGCCCCTTTAAAAAAATTACGCTACGTTTGTTTTTTCTCGTGATGTTTATGTTTATTGGTTTTTTTAATAAGTGTGCGATGCTCCAACTTCTTTGACAGGCAGCCGGGACACAAACCCACATTGCCACCGGTATTTCCGCGGCTCAGATTACTAAACTCGGGGGGGCCACAACCGTATGTATGTATGTAGGTCATGCTCTGAGCCAGACGGGCGGCCACGGAGACTTCCGGGGCCGCGGAGAGGAGATGTGTGCGTGCGGAGCCGCGCTGCGGGGCATCGGCCGCGTGTGCGATGGAGACGCAGAGGTAGCGTTTTTCTGTTTTCCTGCTTTTGTGCTTCCTGTTTTTCTGTTTTTTTTTCTGTTTTTCGGCGTTTGGGCCGTCTGCACCATAGTGTTTTTTTTTCGTTTTGGGCCTAGTACCCTAGAGTAATAAACTGGGTGTTTCTTGCGGTTACTATTCCTATTTGTATAGCCGCTGGGGGGGGCTGCGCCCCTCCCAGACCCCCCCCCCTCAAAGGCCGTACGGTGTGCTGTAAACAACACCTGACGTCTGGAAACACACATGCCGTACCACCATCGTTCTGTGCAGCTAACTGCATTTGCGCCAGTGTCTATGTGAGCAGGGCGCGGAGCCACTTTGACTGTCCATAAACGTCGTGAGCACACGAAGGCAAAATAGTGTATAAGCTCCAAATGTTCTGCTTTATATGTGCAGAAGGCATTTGGGGCGACTTATGGCCGAAGTAATGAACCAGTACTGCCAACTGACCAACGATTATATTTCTTCCAGGCTCAGACCCCCATTTATTCCCAAAAAAGTAATATATTACCAAAAAAACACTGCTGCACCATCTAGGCTGCGCCGATTTGGTTTTGGATTAGGTTAGGTTAGATTAGAGATGTTGAGAGTTTTTTTTATATGTAAAAGAAAATAATCTGTATATCAATCTGTTGCTACCTTTACTACATCTACCTCTCTTCTACCCCTCTTTGATCGGCCTACAGTCCTACAGTCCAAACTTCCACTTCTTATGTCTGGGGGGCCGGGGTGGGGTGGGGGGGAAATTGGGTTGGGTTCGTTGGGGGCCCTGTATTAGGTTCGTCGTGCGGCTCGAGACGAGCTTCGTCGGGGGGCTCATTGCTTGAAGGTGATGGCTTCGGGCGGCGTTGCTTCCCCCACTGACAGGTGAGGTATGTACGGGTGAGGTATGTACGGGTGAGGTATGTACGGGTGAGGTATGTACGGGTGAGGTATGTACGGGTGAGGTTTGTACGGGTAAGGTTTGTACGGGTAAGGTATGTACGGGTGAGGTATGTACGGGTGAGGTATGTACGGGTGAGGTATGTACGGGTGAGGTATGTACGGGTGAGGTATGTACGGGTGAGGTATGTACGGGTGAGGTATGTACGGGTGAGGTATGTACGGGTGAGGTTTGTGGAGTGTGGAGGTGGCCACTGTTGATTGTGAGTTGAGGTTGTGAGGTGCGGCTAAGAGCCGTACTTGTCCCCTGCCACAACGTTGTTCAGAGTTTCCAAGGTTATTTGTCGAAGTATGAAGTGAAGCCTCCAGTAAAGCCTCCAAGTGTGCGTGCATAGTTGTGGAGTGATGAAGCGGTGCAGTCGTGGTGCACTTAAAGGTGTGAGGAAGATGGTTCTCTGGAGTCAGTCAACAGTCAACCTCTTTAGTGCCGATTACTGCCGAAAAAGCCATTCCCTGGGATTTCAGTTGAGAATTCAGTTAGTAAACGGTTTTTCTAACTACCTATCAATCAACTGCGGGCCGTTGTCTTCCCCTACTCCATCCTCCCCTATTCCGGCAAGTGGCCCAACCCGCAAATCTCCCGCGGCGACTGTCGCGATTATATATTCCTGGAGCATCTTTCTATCTTTCTTTCTGCCTCTCTTTCCAACCCTCTGTATCGGCATCACTCGTCTTGTGGTTCGTCTTCCGAACCCTCGAAAATCTAGAGAGGGAGGGTGTAGCAGCTGACCGCTGAAAAGGTCTCTCGAGTTGCTGGTGGTCACGCTCTGCGCGTATTTATAGCACCGTACTGTGTACCGGCTGCTACAGAGGGTAAAAGTAGTGAACAAATTTAAAACTCGAATCACCGGATGGACAAGAATTCCAGCTGAGATCGGCTGCTAGTGCTTTCTGGCTTTTGCAGCTGTTGACATGCTGCTGCCAACATGCTGGTGCTGGTGCGGGGGGGGTGTCATTTCATCCCCGACTCCAACATCTTGTCACCTGACTTAGGGCCCCACTTCCCCCTTCCTTTCTTTCTTTCTTTTTCTTTTCTTTCTTTTCTGATGCATAATGTTGTTGTTTTGCCTTCTCCTTCTCCTGCTTCAAAAATCACGACCCAGGTTGACCAACACGCAGTTCTCTGAGGCGGAGCTCAAAGCGATCGTGGAGGAGGCGGGTGCGGCCGGGACCTACGTGTGCGCCCACGCCTACACCCCCGCCGCCATACAGCGCGCCGTGAAATGCGGCGTGGCGTCTATCGAACACGGCAATTATCTGGACGAGTACACAGCGCGGCTCATGAGCCATGTGGGGCTTTTTAGGGGGGGGGAGGTTTCGTTTGTGTACGGCTTGTGTACGGCGTAGGTATCAGAGTATGTTTGAGTTTTAAAATGGACTCTTCAGGGAAAGGTCAACATTTTGTTGTGTGTTTGTTTCACTGTGTTTGTTTGATTGTGTTTGTTTGATTGTGTTTGTTTGATTGTGTTTGTTTGATTGTGTTTGTTTGATTGTGTCGTGAACCTCCGTGTTTTTTTTTGCTTGCAGCGACGGGTCTTCTTGGTACCGACTCTGGTAACGTACCGCGAGATTGTACGGCATGGTACGGCGGCGGGGATGCCAGAGGTATGGAGGAGTGGGAGCGGGGGTTCGTGTGTGAGTTTTTTAGCGCGGGGGCGCGTGTTTGGAGGTTTGCGGGCCAAGGGCTTTACGTAACCGAGCAGGCGAACCAAGAGTGTGCAAATCCTTTGCCAACTTGTACAACCAACAACTACCAACATACCATTCTCGTCCGTCCGTCACCACCTAGTCACAAACACCGAGTTTACATGTGTAAACCGTCCACCAACTGCCTAACAAAAATATTTTTGTACCACCAAATCGCATCTTGCTCGTGACATGACGTACAGAAGCTGGTTGCCAAGGTTGGTGATGCTGTCGACGCGGTGAGTACGGCAGGGTACGGCAGGGTACGGCTGCCATGACCCAAAAAAATATTTCCCATCATGAATTATACATAGGGCCTCTCCGCACGCATTCAATAGTCCAACCACATCCTCACGCACCCAACAACCTCCTCACCTCCTCCTCACCTCCTCCTACTTCACCGCCCGATGTGGCCCCTCAGGGTCTCAGGTCGCTGTCCATTGCCGACAAAGCCAAGGTGCCCATGTGCTTCGGAAGCGACTTGCTAGGGAACATGCATCCTGCACAGGTACGGCACCGTACGGCACCGCTTCGGTACGGCACAATCTCTGGGGTATCATAGGTACGATGATGAAGTACGTGTGGCCACGGGGAATGAGGTTGGTCTTGCTGGCCGTGTCCCGGTGTCGGTGCCCCTTAACGCGCTACGTCTTCAAACCGGAGTGCGAGTGCTCTGTTCTGTGTTGCTACGCTGCATGTGCGCTTATTGGTTAGCTGTTCGAGCTCTATTTGGCTAGATATGTTGTGCGGTGTGTTGGGATAACAAATGGCTGACATATCTTGACGTCCTGTGTGCATGAGTGTGCGTGTGTATGCGTGTGTATGCGTGTGTATGCGTGTGTGTATGTGTGTATGTGTATGTGTAAATGTGTATGTATGTGTGTGTGTAAAAGCGAACCCATGTATTGAACACATATGTATGCGCGCGCGTGCATTACCTTAGGCTGGCGAGTTCGAGCTACGAGCACGTGTGCTGCCATCCGCCTCCATCTTGCGCTCGGCCACCGTCAATTGCGCGGCACTGTTCGGGATGAAGGTCAGTTCGTACATGTACGACACACGTACGACATGACATGGATATTTAGTAGTTCACTATTGCGCAGTGATGTGCATATGCTGTGAGCACGTCATAGTGGGAGAGAGCGGGGTGGGGTAACGGCTGCAGTAAAATTGCCGTAAAGGCCAAGCTGACTGACATGAGTGAAAAAATATTGTGAAGATATATATCTTGGCTTTAAATTCCTGAAAAGAAAAGGGTGACTTCGCAACTTGTTCAATCGTGCAATAAATGAGGCGCGCGCTGTCCGGAGCAATAAATATATATAACCCAAATCGCAGTTCCACAAAAACGCTAGAGCCTGAACGAACGAGCCTCTCCTCCCCCAGAAATCCAAATCGCCGTAATAGCTCCGAAAATAAATAAAAATTTCCTCCCAAATGTTTGAGGGATTTCAGGAACAGTAATATATTATCCGCATATATGCGCATGTGCACATGCTCATGCGTGCGGTGCCCTGCCGCCGCCGTGTCACGCCTCAGAAACTGGGCCAGGTGCGCCCCGGCTACCGAGCCGACCTTCTGCTGCTGCGGCCCGGCCTGGATCCGTTGGCTGACGTGGCGGTGTTGGCGGCTCCGGGGGGCGGTGCGGTGGCGGCGGTGTTCAAGGACGGACTACTGGCCAAGGCGCCGCTGCCGCCACGGTCGCACCCGCGTGATTGGGATTGGGGGGAGATGAACCAGCGCCTGTTCTCCATTGCTACTGGCTTGTGAAAGGAGGGGCCTGGATGCACCTGGGTGCAGTGTATTTTATTTTTATTGGCGCCCTTGCGAATAATGTGACTGGCTGGGGCCGGTGGCGTTTGGATGGTATATGTGTGCGCTGGACTTTGGGATTATGTTTTGTCCTCAGCAGTTTTTTTTTCTTTCGTGCTTCTGTGTGGGAGTAGAATCAAGTCCTGTTGCTTTTTCTGTGTTGGATAATGTGCGAGAGGGATATGAACTTTCTCGACGGTTCCTTTTGGCTGTAGATTCAAATAGATGTCGGCCGAGCGAGGAGTCGGTCCAACGCTTTCCTTCACTGAAGGCTTTGTACTTACGTTCTTGCGTGCACCGATTAACATAGCAACAAGTAGTGGCATTCTGGTGCTCATGATGGTGATAGAACGCTGTGCTCAAGGCGTTATAAGTAATAACAACATGTAAAGCGCTTCAGCTCCGGTGGTCCGCCTCGCAGCATGGGCTTTGGGAGCCACGCTCATTCTTGCTCGGGCCGACATACTGTTGAAACCACGTCATCATATTCTCAGTGCTTGTAAGGAAACTACACCGCTGCCGCTGGAGTCTGTTGCTGCAAATTCTATTAGCCTTTAACGTGCTTGCAAAATCGATGTACATTACAGTACGGCCTGCAAATTCCTGGTCATCGGTTGTACGGCGCCGAGACGCTTTGCTGGGAAGCTGGGAATGCAACATGGATGCAATCATGCGATCGCACGATGGCCGCATTAAGATCTATTCATATCTAATATCCTTTGGTTTCCACACGGGCTCCCAAGCAATTTTGCAATCAGCGTCGACGGCCTCCGCATACTAGATTAGTATTGCACGGTACAAGGGACGACAAGGCGGCAAAAGCAGCGCGTCGGCTTTGCCCACCATCAGTTCTGCTCCTCCTCTGCATATCTAGGAGCTTTGGCCATGGAAATGGCTGATGCCCCTGCAAACCAGCAAAACGATCCGGGCCTCCACGACGGTTTGGGTGGCAACCCTCCTGGCGGAGAGCCCAGCACAGCTGGCGACGCTGAGTCGTTCATCATGCCGGAAATGACCGAGATGTTGAGTAACCTGCAAGCCTTTTTCAGCAATCACTGTATCCCGCGAGCTCGGGCTGTCGAAACGGTACGTCACGGGCTCGTGTCCTCGAACAATCTGTTCTGTTGCCATAAAAGCCGCTCTTATAGCTAGCAATTCTTTTAACATTTTCTCTTTTGGCAGGAGGTAGCGAATCTCCAATACGAGATCAACGGCGTCACAGACCGCGCAGAAGCGGAGAAAAGCGAAGCCCTCAACGAGTTGAACCGGCTGGGCAAGCTCGTTCTCAACTTTCAAAGTCGTATTTCTCAGGTGCAGTATTCGGCGCGCGCATCGAGGGTTGGAATGAGCTGGCCCTAGTTGCCTCGTGCACTGCTTGACATGCACGCGTGCTGCTTAGCCTAGACGGCTGAGCGCATCGGAATTACAGATATCCGCCAAGCTCTCCAGACACATCTATTGCCTATATGGCCATTTGTGCCGGGTCCGATCTGGGTCAGAAGGCACCATGTCTGTCAGAAAGCCTAAGGGTGTGTTCACATGTAGTCCAATTGAGAGTCTGATTGGGAGTTCGATTCGGGGCGGCTTTCTGAATTGTGTTCACATACGATTGCGGCCACCGCGCGAGGTGCCACCGCGCCCAGCTGAAGCTCCGCGGCTACGCCCCATCACCCAAGGCAAGCCAGCATTATCTAGTAACAGAACAGTATAAGTATCGTTTCTATGGCGAAAATTATCACCAGGCTTGTACATACATAGCTGCAGGAGTTCGTGAAAAATGCTCAGTGCGCTTTGCGTGAATTAACAATTGGAAAATGTTCCTATAGTATTGTAATGGTAATTATGAGAAACGGTTTGTTAAACAACTTTGTTTTGAGAAAGAAAACTGTGAATCACGTCGAATCATACCCGAAGAGGCCCCCCCGGACCCCAATTCCGATTCGGGTCCAATCAGGTCCAATTCAGAGTCCAATTCGCATGAATCAACCCTGATTCGCCCACATGTGAACACGTCCTAAAGCGCGATGCGGCAACAAAACGGGGTGGGTGGGAAGTCTTATCCTAGAATGACCCGCATGCTAACAAAAATAAACACGCGATGTTAAATAGTTTAATGCTCCTTTTTAATTCTTCGCTCAGGCAGGCCCATTAGTCAGCGCCGCCCCACCTTCCACCGGGCCTTTCTGGTCTTAGACTAGAGTTTTCCGGCGATTTAACAGCTAACTTCAAGCCCCGTCCTGGCCTGTGCCCTCCTTGCCCCCTCTTAACGCGCAGCTTCTGCAATTTGACCCCTTCGGGGGCCAGCGATGAGGCCTCATCATTCCGTGCTGTAGCTGGAGTCACTATCTGCAGTCCTCCTCGTGGCCACTTCTATTCGATTGCGCAGGACGGTGTGAGGGAGGACGCACACACGCAGGGAAAGGGGGAGAGGCGGCGAATTTAGAAAAAAAATCCAGAAGGGATGAGGACGGGGCGGGCTGGAAGGGGCTGGTGCTTCTGCAATGCGGAGTGCTGCAAGGACCGTGCGCTGGCGCGCAAGAAGGCACTTCTAGCAATTACGTGGTGCACTACTCACGGCTGCGGGAGGCTGGGCTTCTTTGCCGTGCGTTTCGTTGTGCGACTCGATTGGCATGCAAAAGTTGGCGCGGTCCAGTTTGCAATAGTTACAGTGGATCCCGATTGAATCAAGTATTGGCATACTCTGAACGACTTGGACTGCCAAGTGTTGTTCGGAGGCGGCAGCTCAAAGACTTTGCAACACCTTGCACGGCTGTGTGCGAACCCCGTGTGGACCGGAGGCAGAAAACATTAAGGCAGGGGATCATCTTTAATACATCAAAGGAACCCCAGTAAGAATTTCGCCCTCCGATGTCGAGTTAGCACTGAATACGTCTTTTGGAAGGCAGATCTGAAATTGGGATCAGAAATATTTGACTTGACAGCGTCTTTTTGAGGTGCAGACAAGACGAGAGAGGAGGAGCATCAGAGAGAACAGCTTCCTTCCCTTTCACTGGCAGCCCCAGCAACCACACCAACCACCACCACCTTCAAGCTTTTATATAGGTGATGTGCCTGACCACTGCCATTTCCTGTGTGTACCTTGCACATTTATTTTTCGAGAAAATGTCAAGACGAAAAAGCGTGCGAAATGCAGCTGCAGCCTAGCCGACACCCTGTCGGAAAGTCAACAGGTCTCATTCGAACCCTCATCCGCACCTCGACTAGAGGACTCCCTTCGGGAGGCCTTTGGCGCCTTACTCTCCTGGCGGGGACCCCAGCTTTGCCCTTTTTCCCTCTTGCCGCGAAACCTAAGACGGCATTTACCTATAACCTTCAACACCATCTATGCCCCTGTTGTGTGTTCAAATCGGCCTTAAAATCGCGCTTCCTGCACGTTTCGGTGCTATATACATAGCATATACAGCACCCATAACCAGAACACGTTACAGGATCGAGCTTCAACCGAATTTCAACCGTCCGGGACAGCACCAACTTGCACTGCCAATTCGTATAGTAGACGACATGCACCTACCTGCATATGCAACGACAGCATCTCCAGCTGTTGTGGAAACAGATAGGAGAGATGAAGAGCCAGACTCAGTAAGCCTACATCCTGCATGCGGCATCTTGAGTCGCCTCTTGAGTCCGCCTCTGGGTTTACTAACGCGTGGACACGCGGAACACACATCAAGCGACGGCTGTAGAGCACGGTGGTGTCCCAACACCATTGTTGCCATCAGCACGATTTCCTTGATGCTCCCAACGAGTAAAAGCAAAGGCGAGCCCTTACAAAAGAAAAAAGAAAGACAAAAGAAGACAAGTCTGGATGAGGGGGAATTTAGAGAGGTACTACCTTTGTTTCAACGGATAAACAGCACGTTTAACCGAAACCTTATCAACGGAATGGACATTCCCTTACATACACACATACGCACACATGCATGCGCACCCAGGATGGATGTACACTCTGATGAGGCTATATCCGCGGTGCCGAGGAATACCTAGGAGAGCCCGCCTGGCCTTGCCCTATTATCTTGTTCACCTCTCATCCAACCGTTCGCCTGACAACAAGATCCGCAGACTCCGCAGAACCCGCAAAACACTTATAACTTCGGAGACGCACCCCTCCCTTCTTACATGAGAACTTAGTTCACGTCCTTCGCCCTCTAAACATTTGGAACTTAGGGTGGATCCACGGGGTCCTCCAGCAGCTCTAGGACCCAGCCAATCCATCAGATGACGCCTAAGCGGCAGGCTAGACGACAGACTAGACGGCAGACTAGACGGCAGACTAGACGGCAGACTAGACGGCAGACTGAGTGGCGCCGACAGCCGCCGGTCTCCTCGAAGTAGCATCCCAGCCACCTGCTGGTACCCGTAGGTGTACCCGTTGACAGGGTGTGACCATCTGGTCTTCGTTCCCCGCCACCCCAAAAGAAAACCAAGGGCTAATATAGCGTTAAACAGCGCTGTTACCTATAAAACTACTACGGAAGGGCCGGCGGTGCAGGGTGGCCAGGAAGTGACGGAGACAGGATATAACGACGTCTCATATGTTCGAGGTGCTATCGGAAACTGCTTGTCTCTGAAACACCTCGTCTCTTGTCCTAACCTCCAACAAAGGTGCTGTGCTGGGGACCTTTTACACCTGCACCTCCTCCTCTTCCTGAACTGAGGGATGGCTCACGGTAGAGACAGCCATCACCGAGTAGGCGGCAGCGGCAGGCCGCCGCCGCGGTGAACGCGGGCGCCTACCTGGACCAGGACCCGGTCCCTTCAACATGGCCGCCGGCCGGGCTCGCTGCCGGCCAGCCATATCCCCGATCGAAGCTTAAGCCGCCGCCGCCGCCACCGCCGCCGCCGCTTGATGTCAAAGGCTGCATGGACGCAGCCATATTGTGCGGCCCAGCAGTAGCGCCCTCGTAAGCCATGTATGCCGGGAAGGTGGAGCTGATAGCAGCTGGCAAGCCGGCGGCTGCAGGCATTCCGCCAGCGGCCGGCATCGGTGTAGGATTCGGGGCGTTGGCGATGGCGGGCAAGTTCTTGGAAGTGACGGAGGAAGAGCCCAGATATTCAGAAGCTGCTCCTGAAGAAGGCAGGTCGCGAAGGAACGCGTGCGTTTGCTGGGATGGTGGCTGCGACTGCTGTCTCGTTGTTTGCTGCTGCTGCTGTTGTTGTTGTTGTTGCGAGTATAGCTGCTGGTATTGCTGCTGATATTGTTGTTGGTACTGCAAGTATTGCTGTTGGTATTGCTGCTGGTATTGTTGGTATTGCTGCTGGTAGTACTGCTGGTATTGCTGAGCGTACTGCTGCTGTTGCGGTTGTTGGTACGAGTCCTGTTGTTGCTTCTGCTGCTGCGTAGCTGTAACTTGTGAATGCTCCTGTTGTGGTTGTTGTTGCTGCTGCTGTTGAGCAGCTACAAGTTGCATGATCGCAGGCTGTTGAGAGGTCGTTGTCGGCTGTGTAGGTGGAGCAACCTGCCCAGCCAGCAGATTTCGGGGCGACGGCATTCCAGCCGCAAGCCCGCCAAAATCCATGCCGCCGCTCCCAAAAGGCGTGTTGGCGGAGGCGGGGATCGCGGGACGAAGCGCCGTACTCACGCCGCCAGCGCGGACATCATCCCCATCACCGCTGCTCATCCCTTTCCCGGCCGCCACTCCCGCCGTACACGACCGCGCCGGGGCCAGGCTTGAATTATCGTTCACAACTGCCGCGTCGGCCGTATATCCCATGCCGCTTCCGCCGCCGGCATTGCCGTACAACGCAGTGACTTTTACCGATGCGTTGTCGGAACGGCCGCCAGCGGCGGTAGTGGCAGAAGCGGTCACCCAGGCTACTCGTGCGGCTTCAAGCGCATGGCCAGACAACGACTTATGGACAGCCGAAGATACCGTGCTACCGTCGGAACCGTTGGATACAAAACCAGTACCGGTTATAGTAGATTCTGGTCTCGGAGCGGGACCAGCGCCCGCAGGCATCCCAGATGCCAGATGCTGCTGTGCTGAATGCGCCTTTAGCGGAGGAGATGATGCAGGTATGGATCCAAACGGCAGCCAAGGGTATGACAGACCAGCTGAATTTCGTGTCTCGCCGCTGCTCAGCGCAGCTGTCGCCGTCGTCCCAGGCGCCTGCACCCCCGGCGCACTCCACGACGGTCCGCCCGTCGGGAAGACATCTCCCGAGCTAGCCGCGCTTACGCCGCTATGCCCCATGACGCCAGTGCCGACGGCAGCAGCGGCAGCGGCAGCGGCAGTGCCTGCCTGCTGCTGCTTCTGTGTTTGCTGGTGAGGGTGGTGGTGGTGGTGGTGCTGCTGCTGCTGAAATGTCTGAGGCTTGGCCGATGGAGCGGATGACCCATGGGTCGTGAACGCCACAGTTGGTGCTTGGGGCAGTGACGTCGAAGCTGACGCCGCCGCCATGGCGCCGGATAGCCCAGCACCACCGAAGGTGCTGCCGGGGCGCATAGCAGTGAATGCTGCCGCGGAGGAACCGGCGCCAAGATGACCAAGAGGTGGATTCATCGCCGCCGTCGCTGCTGCTGCGGCGTTGGCGTTGGCGGCTGCAGTTCCGGCCCCAGCGGACGGATTGATTGACGGCACAGCAGCGGCCGAAGTCCGGTCGCCCATCGGACCGTCCGCCGCCGTCGCTTTCTTCGTTGCAGTTGCTGAGGAGAACGGCTCAGCGGCATCGACGTTCAGGAATCGGGGCTTCGGGACGCTGCTGGCGCAAGGACCAGCAGGTACGGCAGCAGCTGTTCGCTGCTGCTGCTGTTGCTGCTGTGCTGACACTGCGGACAGGGCCGGGTTGACGCCGTAAGACGGCAGCGACGCCGTCGCGGCGGCAGCGCTGCCAGTACTGCAGGTGTTGCCACTGGCAGCAGCAGCGCCTGAGGACACCAAAGGGGAGGTCCCAGAAGCGGATGGCGCCGACACAGGTACGGCGTACGGAGCAGAGCGTTTCGGAGCGCCTGCTGACATCGACAGTGACCCAGATGCCGTGTTTTTTGCCGGCCGTGCGCGTACCGAGGCGGCCGCCTCCGGAACTGGCGGCGGCGGCGGCGGTGGCGGCACCGAGTCCTGCAAAGGGGGTTGCACAGGTGCACTGCTAGCTGCAGGGCCTGCGACACCGGACGTGGCAACTGAAGATTGTGCAGCCCTTTTCGCCGTGCCACTTTGAGACGATGCCGAGCCCGGCGCCGGAAATGCCGATTTCGAGGCCTTCCCAGGCGGAAGGAGGCTCGATGTCGCCAGTGCCACCGGCGACTGTGGCTGCTGCTGCTGCTGTTGGTGTGTAACCGCCGGCGCTTGCTGCCACAACGCCGTCGGCGCTGTAATGGGCGCCGGTGCCGGCACGGCGGGTTTGGCCGCCGGCGTCGTTGGCAGTGTCGGAAAGTCAGCCCAGTCAGGTGGCGGCGAAGCCGCAGCCGCAGCCGCCTTGGCGGCGTACGGACCGCTGACGTGCGGTACGCTGGCCGCATTGATCGCCGCCAAAGCGTCTTTGTCTATCAGATCCGTAAGGCCCTCCTGCTCGGCTGTCCTGAGGCTTGCAGCGATGGCCATCTCGAGCTGCAAATCCTCCTGCAAGAGAAACGAAGCGATACATTGAAATGTATCAATAATGTATACAATAATATGCTAGGCTTGGCAAGCATGATCGGAATACATACAATAATATGCTAGGCTTGGCAAGCATGATCGGAATATATACATATATCCTTATTCTGTACATAATCATTTCCAAGGGACACCAATTGCTCCCTCGGCTCCCTCACAACACAAGCACGCCCTCCCAAATTAGCACAGCATAACACAACGCGACTCCAACGGCTGCCGTACCTGCCACTGCCAGTCCGCCGTTCCTCGCCTGCCGCCGCGGCCGCCGCCGCCACCTCTCGCTCCGAAACCACGTCCGCTGCTGCCAAATACGTCGCCGCCCCTGTCGCCGCCGTTGCCGCTACTACCATAACCGTTGCCCCGGCCCCGGCCCCCCCGGCCGCCGGGGCCCCCCATCTGGATCCCTCCCGTCCGCCCGAACCGTGGTTCATAGCTCTCGCCAGACGCTGACGCCGCAAAGTATTGTTGCGGCTTTTGCTGTTGTTGCTGTTGTGGCGGCGGGTCGCTCCGTGACACAGGGCCCCCAGCCGGCGTCGCTCCTCCCGTCCCCGCTGCCGCCGCCGCCTGAGCTGCACCGCCTGCTCCTCCTCCTCCTCCCATGCGACCCCCGCTGCCTTTCCCAGTCGGGGCTTGTTGCTGTGGCTGTGGCTGTGGCTGAGGTCGCTGTCCGTGGGGATTAGCTGCAGATGACGCGGACTCCTTTGCAGCCTTGTTGCCCGCCGTACCGCCGGCACCATTAGACTCCCCATTTGCAGTTGCTGCTGCCGTCGGCTGTTGCTGCTGCTGTTGCTGCGTTTGCTTCCCAGATGATCCTCCTGCTGCCCCAGACGAGCCGCCTTTCTTCGCGCCCTTGCCGCCAGCCGTGTTCGTGGCGGCGGCCGCAGCCGCCGTCTCGCGTACTGAGCGTTCGTACTCTGCCGCCGCTGCTTCCATTGCGGCCCGCATTGCGGCATCCTTCTCCGCGGCTGCACGCCGCTTCGCCTCCTCCGCTGCCGCCCGCTGTCGCTCCTCCTCCTCAAGACGCCGTGCCTCAGCTTGCCGTCGCCTCTCCTGAACAGGGCGACCGTGCACCAGACATCCCATCAACACCGGCATCACACCAAAACTCGACATCCTGCACAACTCTGAAAACAATCGCCTTGATATGAACGACACGCACAGCAAGTGCCACAGCACGTACCACGCGGTTTGCTGATTTGATGACAGCTCTTTGCCCAAATCAGGTTCTTTCCACCGTTTTCGTCACCGCCTCTCCATATGTGTTAACGCCCCCTACGCTGCCCTCACCAATGAGGGAAGGACAGCATAGCGTCCTTCCAAAGACGCTGGCCAGAACAATAAACGCCCCAGGGCTTTGTAACGCGTCTTCCTATCGACATCTCCGCAGCCCCAGACCCCGACTCCGGCATTGGAGCCCCACTCCGCGTATGTAATGTAACATGTGTGTCTGAAACGTATCTGGTCTGGTCTGGAGACACTAGTGCAATTTGCGGTTAAGGTCCTGAGTTCGATTCCTGGTTAGACCCCCGACATTGTCGGTAGCGTGAGATTGTGGCTAGATGCTGAAATGTGGAGTTGAGGTCACAGTTGATGGACCGAGATTCGCACGCTGGATTGTGGCTAAACCCGCCCTCTCTAAGGTGAAAGGATGAGGAGGGATTCTAGAAGGCAGTATCAACCGCTTTGGACTTGCTATTCGTATGGCGCAGTACAGTGCGGTAACGGTGGATGGTACTGTACAGTGTATCAATTATAGATGACAGGCAAGTGTGTGCAAATGTCCCAGAAGCCTCCCATTCTGTACCAACAACGTCAACAACAGCTACGACAATTCTGAAATTCGCCTTATCCAAGGCCCCACCTGCTCCTCCGACATCTGAGCACTGCTGCCGCCAGCATCTTCGCCGCCACCGTCCTTCCCGCCCCTCCCTCCTTTGCCCTTCTTCTTCTTCTTGCCCTTCTGCGCGGCAGCTTCCTCCGCTGCGGACGGCTGTACTACTGCCGCTGCCACCGCCACCGGGCCGCCGGCGGCGGCGGACTTCACAGCCCCGGTTGCTGCTCCGGCTCCAGGTGCCGCACTTTCGGGTGGCCCCGCCGCTGTCCCCGTGGCCTTGGCGCCAGGAGCTGTGCTGGGCCCTGCCGCCGCCGCCGCCGCCGCTGCAGCAGCAGCAGATGATGATGACGGCATCTGCTTTCCTGACGACGCGGCGGCGGCGGCAGCTCCAGAAGATGGCTGCACCCTGGCGGCGTTATTGTTGTTGTTGTTGCTACTGCTGCTTGAAGCCCCGGCTCCACCGGCGCCAGTACCAGATCTAGCAGGGCCGGCTGAAGCAGCAGCACCAGAGGCCGATGGCGCTTCAGCACCAGCAGCAGTAGCAGCAGCAGCAGCATCCGGCTTGCCCGTGGTTGAAAACACGCTCTCCTCCGAGTACTTGGCCCACTGCACGCAAGCAAAGACCGCAAGGAGAGGGTTTTAGGGAAAGCGAAAGTAGGATTGACGTAAACCTATTTAAACATTTGAAGGGGACCGCAAGCGCGACGTGGGAACAATAAAGGTCCCAAAGCCAAGACACAGGAAAAAGGGGCCATCATGCAAAAATAATGAAGTCCCTTCAGGCTATCTGGAATCTGGGCAAAGAAAATAACGATTATCGATGAAGTCCCGACAGACGAGGAAGAGGAGGAGGTGGAACTGATCCCGTTGTCGGTTATTTCAGTTAAGCCCCGATACACCGCCTCCATCCTCCGCGCCCGCCTCCTACAGCCAGTGTACAATCCCCTGAGAACTTACCTCCTCTGATCACTAATCCCCTGAGAACTTACTGCTACAACTACACCTGCTTGATGGCCAATTCTGCACACTACCCCTGGCTTGCTGCACCCTTAGCCCCCATTTGCCGACGTAAACTCCTCGCCGCGTCTCTCGTACCAACCGCCAAACCCCAACGACCATCATTACCACCCAGCGCCAACCACCACCGCCACCTGCACACACCTGCAGCTGCAGCTCCTTGACGTCTGGCCCCGCAGCAGCAACCCAGGTGCCGGCACGACCCCGGAACACGTAGCGTGTGCCTGGCGCCAGCCCCGTCACGTCAAAGTTAGCCGAGGTTTCGGAGCTAAGAGTGGTCCAAGCCACATCCCCGACGCGCTTGTAGTCCAGCTCGAAGCTGCGCATGCAGGTGATGGCGGTGGTGGGGCATGACAGCCGCGGGAGGGCTGTGTGTGCGTGTGCGCGTGTGTGAGATAGAGAGGAGACTGTATGATATCAAATGCACAAATAAAACAACAGCCATGAGGATGGGAAGGCGCCGATGTTTAAGGGCGCAGAGCGCAGAGCCATCCAAATGTAAGCAGCATGTATGTCCGTCTGCCCTATACCAACCCCTCGACTCCATCAGGGCGCACTTCACCGCAATCCCGCTACTCCGCACCGTGCAATGCCGTACAGTGCCGTACCGTATCTGCTTCTTCTCGAGCCACATCGTGGCCTTCTTCTTCGGATCCAGCGTCAATCGAATGGACGAGTCACTGCGAATGCCGCCAGGATTGGTGGGTCGCGGCAGCTGTTGGCCCGCGAATTTCAAAAGGCCTGGATCCGGTGCTGCAGCGAAGGCACTGCGGCGGATGTCATCTGACTTGCTGAAGAACTCGTCGGCCTGTAAAGAAGTAGTTAAAGAAGGTGGGCTGGGGTCAGGTCAGGATTACTGTAATAAGCAAGAGCCCAGAAGTGCAGCAGCATCAACAGGCCATGTCCCCAAGCATCCAGGATAAGGTAGGTGAGGTGCAATCCATGCCGCCCCCCCCGGCTTTTACCGACACCGCCATACGTGTGTGCGGGGAACTTGTAACATGTAATGTGGGGGTTCGAGACAAAAACAGGTAGAACCGGATATGCTAATTGCTAGTTTACGTTATGAAAAAGGATCGTATCGCCAGTGACAACACCAGATATCTCGAGAGGTCGAATGCCCTAACTCAATGACAGGTTGGGTCGTGTGTAATCCCAGCCACCCAATGATGCGGCCGTTTTCCTACCAGATCCAGATCCAAACCCCGATCCAAACCAAGATCCAGCCACCGATCCACCGTATACCCGCCCCGGCCCCGGCCCATGCAGCCGCCCACCTCCCGCGACCGGCGCTTCCGCTCGTCCTTCCTCGCCGACGCCTTGCGCTCCCTGGACCCTTGCTCCTGGGACTCCCAGTACTCCCGAGCCTCCTCCTCGTCTTCCACCGTACTGTAACTGCCTGATGGGTTGGAAATGATGCAGAAAATGATGCGAAACTAATCTCCAAGTTTGAATGTACCAACTGAAAGGGAGTACAAGCAGCCAATGTAGGGTTTGGGAGAGAAGAAACGGAAGGAAATGGTTGTGAGCGGAATGTGATGCTTAGTGAAGGCGAATTGGGTGAGTCAAACATGTCAAGACGTGGGCGTTTGGAATTACCCCATCGGTTTGGGATCACTATGCATCACATAGTGCGCTTTGTCTTATTTTTTCCCAGTGGGGTAGAGTGTACGGCAGTCCGTTGCGGCCCCCGATGGCCCTCTACCACCCCTGCCGGGGTATTTATTCCCTCGTGGGGCCTATCCGAGAGGGAGACCCTCGCGGTAATACCTACTACTACCACTACCATTACTACCCATCCACCCCAAAAAACGCGAAGTCTGGCCGTGTGCGGAAGAAGGATTTAAAGTGGGCGGAGTACTTGTCATGGCGAGGTGCCGGGAGTGTGAGAGATAAGCCAAAAGGCATGCCAAGATCAAAAGCCACAAGAGACGAGGCAGCGAGCCCCTATCCAAGAGTCGAGCGAACGAGGGGGCTCCCCCACTTCCCCCCGATAGAGAGGCAAACACAGCAACAAAACCAGCTGCACGTAATCAATTCCCAGTGCGCTACCTAGCGCCCTCTGTCCTGCCCTGATTCTCAGGTAATAACACACCAGAGTCGTCGTAATCGTCGTCATCATCCTCGGATTCACTGTCGTACGTGTAGAACGAGCCGCCACGGCCGCCTGGTGACAAACACGCGTACGGCAATGCATTCAACATGCGTCACAAGTTTGGTTGTTGGTAATCGGGTGTACGCCAGAGCGAGTTCGTGCGTACGGCAAGAGCGGCGGGCATGGGAAGGGGTGGGGGTGACGGGTTGACCGGGCGGTTTTCTACGGAATTTGGGATGGAGAATGGCGGCTCCGTTGAATTGTACTCCTTTCTAGACAGCACATTCCTCCCCCACCGACCCCATATGTATTTATCTTCCCCCGTCATCCCCGCCGCTCATTCCCGAAAAGGTCTCCCCGGCCCCCTGCGCGCCGTCGCCTCCAGACCTAACCCCCGTGTCCCTAGTTGGTACTTTAGGTGGCAGAAAACGCACGCACAAATATTCCAGCGATTCAATCCAACACTATTTCACCCATCACTAGGCTGGACTACATCTTTCTTCGGTTAAGTTGCGCTCATGTGTGTGTCATACTCCTCTTAGCCATCTCCTCCTAGCGGCTAATTTCATACGAACGCACATACAGAGATACAAAGCCCGCACACATACATACGCACGAACACAGCTCACCTGGCGATCGATATCCGCCACCGCCTCGCCGCGGAGCTCCGCGAGCAGGTCCCTTCCGTGGACGGTAGTAGGAGCCGCCTCCCATTCCACCGCCGAAGGAAAACCCCGGGAAGACGCCCAGGCCGCCGCCTGGCATGTAGAAAACCTGGAATCCGCCGCCGCCGCGACGACCGCCGCCTCCTCCCTTTCCCCCCATCCGCATGCCTCCAAAGAACCTTCGGGGCCGTACGCATAGAAACGCACAGATACATACACGCACACGCACGTATACAAGGGAATTGATTTCTGGGTCAACTTCTACGGCCTGAAGTTTATGTTTATGGGTTTTGAGATTCTTTCCGCTGAGTGAGGGCGACCTACATGCCTGGTAGTGGTAGCGATGGCCGTGGAGCCGGATCCCCCAAGAAGCAGCAGCAGTAGCAGTAGCAGTAGCAGCAGCAACACCGGCGGCAACGTAGCACCGGAACGGAGCCCTGCAAGCAGCGGCTGCCGCGCTGCCGTCCCCGTCCAGAAATCCTTGCTGACACCACACGGCATCCCCAACAACAATCGCCAGGGCCGAGAAGATGCAGAGACACGCTGGCTTTCCCTCTCCGAAATCGAAACCCTAATCCTCCGTCACCCGTTCTCACCTGGTAGGCCTCTATCCTACCATCGAAGGTTGATAGGGCAGAAATTTGGATGAAACATCGTCGGCACGAGGCCACACAATTCGTTAAGTTATCATGATTTCTCCTCAGAAAAAACTTTGACGCGCACAACTTACTCCCCTCTGACCCAAATCATCAGTTGATTCTTCGCTTCCCTTTTTCTTGCATCACAAAGCATGGCATCCCGATCGCCTCAATCGCTTGCAGCACATAGCAAAAAACCATTTCGAGTCCAGGGCCCAACGCTCAAGAACCAAATCGGCATTTTGCCGTTTCTTTATGCTTGTGCGAAGAAAAATAGCGGTGCTTACATGCGGTAAAAAAATTCTGTCCGCAGCAAGTCCGCAAATTCTTCGAAGTCATGTTCATCGAAAATGTCCTCAGGATCCAGGTCATCCAAGTCATCGTCGTCGCCAGGGTGGTTTCGAGCGGACAGGCGAGCATACGCGGCGGAGATCATCTGATTACAAAAGCAACACAACAGCAAGCGGTTACATGCCGTACAAAGTACGACGGTGCAGTACAGCAGCATGTGACAAAGGCGGGTTAGGTTTACGCCACGCTTCTGATGGTATATGGTAAAAAGCTGAAAGCCCGGGATGGTAATGCTGATGGTGGTGGTTTGGCGTGTCTTTAAGGGTGGCCGCTGCTGGTGCTGCTGGTGCTGGTGCTGCTGCTACCACGAAGGAAGGTTGGGCCCCGGAAGACGCGTCCCAGAGAGGATGGTACCGTCCTGATTGAGGAAATCAAATCCCTCCCCCGAGGTGGTGCTATTGCGTAAGAAAAAATCGCTGACGAGACTACTCCATGTCCAAGGTGCTAGGCTGCTGTTGTGGTGGCTACACGCGACCAATATAATGGGGTTTTGGCCGATGTAATGGCCGAACGGGCGAGGGCAGATGGCAACCAGTGGTTGGAAAAAGGCTCTCGGGGAAAGGAAAAAATGTTTCCAATGGCTGTCGCTATTCCGAAAGATGCTCAGTACTGGGTGGGGAATCTGGTCCAACTAGACGCCCCCGGACACGAATGCTAACCGGTCCGCCACCACCAGTCCTCCCAGCGGACAGGACCCATCGTTTAACGTGCTGCCGTGTATCCTTTACGGAAAAGGAAGATCGCCATCACGACTTGCCTGGAAACGCGCCGTCGCAGCCTCCTTGTCGGTGTTCTTGTCCGGGTGCCTGTCCAAGGGGACAACTTTTTTTTAACCATGGAACGTTTCTGGGGATCATTCAAATACCCTGATCTCCTCCCTGTAACTAACGTATCTCCTTCAAAGGAGAGGGAACGCCCCAAAACATGAGGGTAACAACACAAATGACCGAGTAGCACAGACGCAAAGTGGACCGCACCAATGCAAAGCGAGCTTCTTGTATGTTTTTTTGATCTCGTCTTCTGATGCACCCTGAGGTAACGGCGACGGAGGGGTGCATGCAATTGCAGAAGTGAGCGGTATGCACCAAGCGATGCAGTATGTGCCTTCCGGGATACTGGCCGGGAGTGATACCGACATCATTTCCCGTGTTCTGTAGGGCCAAAGCTAGGAATAAGCACTTGGGTGCAGATCGGCGCGAAACCCCATCCCAAGAAAGCTCACGTCTTCAAGTCCCAGTTCTGCCAAGGCTTGTGCACGTGTGAGCTTCATCGTAACCACGGACAGGTATTCACACACGCGATGCCTTCGCCCAGGGTAAAGCGCTCAGCCCCGGGGGACCAGCAAACAATTGAGAAATATTTTAAATCAGCACTGCTTTAGTTTGTATAAAGATGCTCCACATATTAAAGGCTTAACACGATGTCACGTGTAAAAGGTAAATACTAGCCGCTGTAGACAGAGTACTATTATGGCCACCCTGATTACGAACTTTTGGATCAACTCAACTGCATATGCAATCATGTAGGCAGGCAGCAGTAAGCATGGAGCGAACGCGTATATTACGGCATCGGGGATACGGCGTCTTGTTTTTGGGTTTTGCTCGCGACGTTGCTGCTATGTTGCAAGTGAGCCGCTGATTATCTTGGCTGTGAAGCGTGACATACTATACTGTTTTACTTAAAAAGGATTTGAAGGCCGCCGCTCGTCCTTCACATCTGTAGAGCAACGCTCTGTCCTTGCAACCGCGCAGCGCGACTGAATCCAGCTTTGAAGTTGCGGAAAATCTGTCAGTCAGGGAGCTGAGGGACAACTCACAAAGCAGCTTCGCTGATTCCTGGGAGGGGGCCTCGTAGAGGAACGGCGCCGCAGCAGCGCATCCAATCAGCATGAAAGGCATCAGCTTGAATGCACGCATGCATCGGATATGGGGCGCTTACGAGCGGCAGCTGAGCAGGCGCCCCGTCCTGACCCAAATGGCGACGTCATGCTTGCTTTGGGGCTGCGGCGACGTGCTTGCCCAGAGGTATAATCATCAAAACCTATTTTATTCGTTTATATCTATGTCTGCTGAATTGTTGACAAATCCTCGCGTGTTTCCCCAATTTCACGTGCAATCTGCAGGGCCGTTGAGCAGCGACGCCTGTCCGAACTTGACGGACGCCGCGTGGTCTGCACAGCTGCCTTTGGTGCCGCGTTCATGGGGCCCGTTGGTCATTTTTGGTATCAACAGTTGGATGTCATTTGCGCAAAGCTGTTGGCGACCGGTTCCCCGGGCTTTCTCGCAGCCAAGCTCATTGCCGACACAGCCATCATGGGCCCGCTCTACGTGGTGGCTTTTTACGCCTGGGGCTGTGCGCTTATTGACGGCTCGGGCTGGGAGGGCTTCAAGAAGAAGATTATGCAGGTAGGGCAGGCAACAACCTGCAACACCGCCAGGGAGCATCACGAGCAGTAAAATCAGCAACGCCAGCACGAGCCCGTTGTCGGGCCGGGGCCCGGGGAACGGAGGGGCGTTACCAATGCACGGCTTACTGCCGTATTGCGTTACAGTAGCTAAACGACCTGCCGATAGCTTGGCTGGGTAGAGTAACAAACCGCTTGCGAAACCCCCTCCCAACACCAACCCATTATGAAAGTTGCACTAGTGGCCAATAGTAATGACAGTTACCTGTGTTGCACCGTTAGAAAACCTTTAGGGCCTCGAGGGCCCGGCAAGGACCAGACAGTCATACCAATGACCCACCTAAGGCCAGCGACTACCACGGAGACCGCTGCATTTCGGCAATCCCATGACTACTTGGGTGGGTGGAGGGAAAACTAGAGGACACTGTCCCAGCAGCGGGACACACCTTCTGGTAATAGTCAAAACAACGCCAGTTAAAGAATCAATGCGCCTGTGGGACCCAAATAGACATTTGGCATCCCATGCCGAACTGGGTCGTATGCATGCACTCACTCCGCTTCCACGCACCACGGCAGCTCCTTCGCAATAACCCGCCTATCTCGCCTACATTCATATTTTGCTTCGAGAAGTCGAAGCATATAAGCACGCAACAGTCTACCACACAGCTTGTCAACTTGGTTCCTCACATACCGACCCATTAGCTCCCACTTCCCTTCGTCTTTGCCACAAAGGCCCAGCTGTGACCTCCCCACTCCTTCCGAGCTCCATAAGGCTGTGATTTACACGCGTTGCATGTTCACTTTTGCACCCTCAGCATTGTCGCTCCCCACCTCCATTCCTGCCATTTCCAGGACTTTATCCCAACCTACACGGCTGAGCTGGCTGTATGGCCTCTGTTCCAAGCCTTCAACTTTACTCGTATACCAGTGGAGCACCAGCTGCTGGCCGTCAACGGAGCCACCCTCGTTGTAAGTGCTGAGTAGCCTCTGCCACACCTCGTTTGAGGCCTATGTCGGCTGCTCGGCTACATGCCCACCTCGGCAGTTATGTCTCCCTACATGCCTACTGTCTTGTGCCTGTCTTCCCAAACATACCTATTTACAGGACGAAGCATATACACGCTTACCTAGGCTATTCTGCTCCGTTACATGCCCGCTTAGGCTATCCTACTTCCAGCTACCTCCCTACCCGCCAACCTACTCAGCTCCTCCCCCTCTTCCTGCACGACCAACCTTTCATCCACAACATTGCAACCATGATGGTGATGATGAGAACCGCGCCCCCGTGTCACAAACCACGCCCGCAGGATGCCTGTTTTCTGTCGTGGGCGCGATCCCAGGATGATTGGGTTGCCACGGTGTTGGCTGCGCTACAGGCCTGGCAGGAAGGTACCGACGGCAGCCGCAAGGCGGCGGCGGTAGTGTCAGTGGTGCCCGACGGTAGCGGGCGCCCGCCGCGGCTGGGACAAGGGGGGCCGCTTTAGGCAGCAGTAGAGGTGCGATGTAGGGCTAGGGCGTATACGTAAAGAAGGTCTAGAGTTTGACGGCGCTGTAGAGGTGTGCTGGTAGTCGCTGCGGAGGCTTGGGTGGTCTGAGGAGAGGGCGTTTGGTTGGCGTTGGCGTGTGGATGGAAGGTGCGTGTGTGAGTGGCTGACAATTGGCGGGCGGGGCGAAAGTAGCTGTGAAGTTGGGTTTACGGGGTTTGGATGGAGAGCGGCTGCCGACGCGGTCAGCTAGTCCGCCTAACACATGTACTACTTGGACGCGGTAGGTACCTCGTACCGTGCAACTAGGTAACAGGTAATAGCTTGTGTATCAGGGCTTTCTACGGCCAGGTTGGGCTCTCGCTCGCGGCTTGGAGACGAGGAAATGGAGGGTGCTCGCTCCCATAGTGCCGGAGGATGGCAGCCTGTTGCCTAGCAGGCAGCAGGATTGGGGGCCCGGAATGACTAGTTCCATACGTTGGCTTGGCCTGGCCAGGCTGGGCAGGCCAAGCTGGTGGCCTGGCGGGCAACAGCGGGTAACAGCTAGGCGGTCTAGGAAGGCAGCAGTTGTCGCTTGGCGGCTAGGAAGGCGAACCGGGTGACCTCGGTTAGCAGTCTGGGAGCTCTGTGGATACTCGCAGCAGTACCGCTGGGTGTCTCAGCGCAGGAGGGTACGACGAAGCACAGGGGGTTGACGAGAAGGAGAGAACCATAATAGACGGATACTCCAAGCGCAGAAGGGTGGCGGGCCGCAGCTCTGGGCACAGCTGTGGAAGAAAGCAACTAGCTACAGGGCAGCCTCAGGGTATGGGGAGGATGCGGCATGCGGCCTAGGCAAAAGCTGGAGCGGGGTCCAGGAGCTATAGCAGGTGGTTCCGGTGTTCCCACGTTGCCTGGTGTTTGGACGGAGGAGAGGCCAGAGGCGCCGACGTGCCTTTCTTTCGTCTATCTGCCTGTCTGCCGGTCTATCCGGATACCTAAGGGTCTCTGGCCCGGCTGCTGCATATGTTTTTTACAGAGAGGCAACTTCGGCATTGCGGTGATCTTGAGGGTTGATTGTGGCGGGTTGGCAGAGCTGGGGAGAGAAATAGAGGGTTCCATTTTTGGTTTGGCGCCTGCGGCATAGAAGTTCTTTTCTTCCCGTTGACAGAGCAGACAGAGTTCATGTGGACAGAGCGGTCAAGAGAGAGAGCGAGAGACAGAACTTGGAGACAGCGAGACGCCGGCGTATTTCGTGCGCTGGCTTCTTTTTTTCATTGCTAGCGGTATCTTGCCTACGTTACAGGTTTGCAAAGCGAGGTGGAGTTTGTAAGAGGTGGTCGAGTTTGCAGCGATAAGGGCACGGCGGCATAGGAGTCGAAGATTGAGTTGTCGAATCGAGCTGCAAGTTGTGTCATAACTTGACTATTGGTCTTCACTTTGCCTGGAAGCACTAGCGAAGATCGCGGAATCCCTAGATTTTGGGCGAGCATCAACGCTACACTATTGTGCGAGGGCTGTGTCTAGGCGAAGACGGGATATATATGTATACGTCTGTGCGCCTGTATCTATGCCTGTGAGCGGCGTTTTGCTAAACTATGTATGAAGACCTTCAGGATATTTCTGCGGAGAGCCCTTTTCGGAGTGTTGGAGCTGTTTTAAAGGAGTTGAATGTCTTCGTGTCTGAGTGCGAGTGCGAGGGGAAGAAGTGCGGAGTGCGGCCATTGCTTTCCTGTTTTTTCTCTTTCGTTTCCTTTTGTTGAGTTTTTATTGCCGTTGTTTTTTCCATTGTTGCTCACGTACGTTGCTGCCGTTACCGTGGTCTGATGTCGTGCACAGTGCGATATACGTTGTACGGCCAACGTTCGGAAAACACACGAGGTAATGTGTATGTTTCTTGTATCCTGTTATGATTTGCTGCGGGCAGCTGCACAGCAGCGGCCGAGGTTTTGCGCTTTTTCGAAGTAACCCTCTGGGAAGGTATTTTCTGACCGATGGCACTTAAAAGGTTAAAGGCCCCGATTCCGCCTGTCTGCGTTAAAAGAAACCCGAACCTACTTCATAGAGAAAAGAAACCTCTTAGTGATGTTGATGCAGTTGCTGCTACTGCGGTTGCTGACAGCCTTGTGGTGAGCTGGTAATACTGGGCCATTTTCAGTCCTAAGCCCCTGGGGTAGGAAGGCCTACGCGCCTCGAGGAAGCTGAGGCAGCTGCAGGAGAGATTTAGAGCGAAGGGGGGGAGGGAGTGGGAGGCGCAAAGGCTGACCGGAGAGTTCTCTGTTGTTACGCGAGTTTGTTCATTGAGGTCTTGATTGCCCATTGGACTGTTCCGCTTGTCATTATCGTATCACCATGCCGCACGCCGTGGGCTGCGTGTCGCAAACCCCAAGTCCCCAGTCGCATAGCGCGGCGAGGCTGTCATACAAAAGAGGCACAAAGAGTTATCTTAAGATGAATCGGATGCTTGTCGGTTTTCCTCTTACGTGGTAATGTGGTAATAACGCTGGGAGAAGAGGCTTGGGCGAGGAGGCTGTCAGAGTGATGAACTGGCGGATGTGAACTGGCGGATGTAAAAGAGTGCAAGGTGCCGAAACATCTGCTTGCAAGTGTTCAAGAAGTATGGGACGTCGTCCTATGCGTATTAATTTAGTCATGAAGCCTTAGTAGAAACCTTCATGGTCTGTAATTTCAAGGACATGCTCGTGCATACCCGTCCAGGTAACGTGCTATACGTGGATTCTCTTTCAAGTGATTATCCGCTGACATGTTTTTCGCGGTTACCTTATCGACCGATAACCTTACTGGGCCATGACCGTCTTTTTTCTGATCTTGATAGTTGTAACAGAAATTGTACTGGATGACAGAAATGGATCCGTTCCCGAAACCAGAAATAGCCCGTTTCCGATGTCTGGTGCGGACTTGCGGTGTGGTAGTTCATGGTAATTCTGGAGTTAGGGGGTTTACCGCTGACAGGTAATCCCAGATGAGGCTTGCAGAGGCGAGAAGACAACTATGGCCTTGGTTATCTTCTCACCTCTGCCAGCTTTGCGTGGAGACAAGCCGCCCTGGCATGTTTACACAAAAGAGTATATTACATTGACAAAGTTTAAATTTATTTGCCTCGCTGCACGCATTTGAGTACCAAAAACTATTTAGGAAATTGAGTACATTTTCAGCTTTTCAGCTCATGACATCGCGACCTTCCTTTCCGTCAACGATTGCAGCAGACCCACTGCACATATCTACACCATTTCCTTTGTGTTAAATTTCGCATGGCCAAGCAAATGCGAGCAAGCGGTACAGTACATCCCTGTTCCAGTGCCTATGCGCCGTCGTGGCCAAATGCCGGGCCACTGCCAAGTTTTTCTCCTATACCGTAGCACATAAGTCACGTTCTTCCGCATAGGACGCAAAAGAAAACGCGACCAAATACTATTTGCTGCTGCAACTAGAGGGTAGGACACACTGTCGGGCAGACCAATTCTTTTGTCAGGAATAAAATCCAGGCTAATTCTGCGACAGAGCTCATCCCTAATTCCAGCCCGGATCCTACCCTCCTCTGCAACCACAACCACAACCAACAGACAGGCGGAGATTCGATGTTTGTGAGAGGCTCCATCACATATTCAAATCGACAGACACCACTTAACCCAGTTGAGGATTCCAGATCTCATATAAAATCACCCAGATTGCCAGCCGAGGAGGGTACAGAAATCCCAATCGCGCACAGAGCCACAAGCCAAGTAGATATTGTACGGATCGGCAGGCACGAAACAGCAAACTAAAATTACGTGCGGTGCACGTTTGAGCATGACCCAACAAAATCGTGACACCTTGTAACTTCAAGACCATAGATCATGAAACGATGTACGGGGAAACCGAAATCGGCACCGTAATCGCGCGCGCCTCAAGCAAAAGCACTCACCTCTCCCAGAAACACGACGGCTCAAGAAGCCAAACCAAAACGTTCAACCTGCAACCTTCCCTCCTACAATCCTCAACCAACAGCAACAACACCAGAATCGCACAGATACACGCACACCTCTAAACGCCACGTTTCTCCCTTCATCTACACACACATGCATCATAGCCAAAACTCATATGCAGGATTCAAATGCCGAACGAGGCATGAAAATACAAAATGTCAAACTCTCTGAGATAGGCCTAACACCGAAACAGCCCTCGTACTTTAGTTGTACACCAACCAACAACGGACAAGGTGCAATAGACATGAACGCAGGCCACTGGGTCTCAAATCAACCTACTGAAGAGCTCTCTCTTTCTCGACTCTTTACATAAAGCATCAGCGCCTGTTCGTGACAGTCGCAACTCTTTGCAACGCCAACGACATAATGACAACACAAACATCCTAATGACTGTAACAGCAACAACAGCTTTGGCTCCCTACAAAGGCAATGCCGTCTGTCGAGTAGAGGAAAACGCGTTAACGCACAATTAGCGTTCTCGCCATCCGCGCCCCTCTTCCTGCTTGTCGACAGTCAGAGCCTTCCAAACCAAAACAGTCAAGGACCTTCCAAAAGCGCGCGGCGCGGCGGCGATGGCGATGAATATGCACAACATGATACAAGAAAGCAACGGGAGCAAAAGCCCCGATACTCTCCGCGCTGCGTCCCGCTGCGCCGCTTTAGGAGTGCCGCGTCTGATTAGGTTAGGGAGCCTTCCAGGACGGCGTTTGCGCCCAGCAAGGATGAGCATGGTCAAGGACACACCAGCGCACAACATCCCGCGTGCGACACCTTGCCCCGTCACCTCCTCCCAACAAACAGACCCAGCACACCACACAGGCACACAAGCAACCAAACCGAACCTCGCGACGCCTCCACCACCTTGATGGCCACCTTGATTTTCCATGCGCCCGCAAAAACACTATGCACTGTCTTCACTGTTGACCACATGCGGAAAGCAAAGCCAGCCACCGGGACTGTCAGGTCTTGGCGGCCACTCATGGCGCGGCGCATGCGACACGTGGGCGCAGGTCGTCGGGGGAGTACCGCCGGTGACACCGCCAGACATCACACAGCACACACACGTCACAGTGAGTCGCGCCGTACCTCTTCTGCAACTGACTCCTGCGCCACCCACGCCCCAGACCTTGCCCAAATCATCCACACAAGCGGACCAATTCATTAAATACAATTCAACCCAGGAGCCACACAGACAATTATGGGACCCTGGCTTCCTATGATGCTAAACCTTCAGAGTCTAAACTCTACGAAAGGGCACACTACACGGCCATAGTTTGGTTACAAACTACATAGAAAAACAACGTGCCAATGACCCTAGCGTGTCGGCACCGAAGCTGCTGCTGCTACTGCTGTGCCTGTCGTGGCCCCATTCAGCTGGGCCGATCGAAGGCCCAAGAAACCACCTCCTCCTGCAGCACAGCACGTTGCACTGGCCGTCAGAAGCGGCATGCGGCTCAGATGATCATCTCCGGGCGCGTCCCATGGCCAGAACGCCGCCGCTGCGAAATCCCTTGCGACACCAGCGTCGCCGTATAGACGATCGGCCGCGAGCAACTGTTGTTCTTGTAGAGCTGCTTCTTTGTGCTCTCTGTTTTTTGTGAGTACGTTCCTCATGTCCCTGCCCTGCTGCTGCTGCTGTTGTTCTTGGGCTTGCGCTTCTCGTTTCTGATGCGTAGCAGCCAGCAGCGGCAACTGCTGCTGCTGCTCTTGAGAGCGCTGCTGCGGCGCCAGCTCAGCTTCGTCCTTCGTGCGCACCCAGCTGAGGAAGCAAACGTCAAACAGCGTCGCAACGTTAACAGCCAACAGTTGGTGCTTGACCGGAACGCGGCTGAAGACAAAGGCCATGTACGGCGGCCAGAGCATAGCTTCCGCCAGCATCGTAGGCACAAATTCCTCCCGCATTTTTTCCGCGAAGACCGCGGGGCTTAGCCCGTCGATGGCCATGCAGCCATAGGCGAAGAAGGCCAGAACGTAGCAGGGTGAGTATAGAAGATTGTCCACGGTAACCTGCGTGATCAAGGAATCAAGGACAAAGAAGATGGGGACTAATGCAAGGGGTCATGCAAGCTTGATAAAGTGTAACGCCGCTAAATGAAGGGGCACGCAAAGAGGCGCATTTGCACTACCCAACAACGATATTTACTTTCGCGCTAATAACGGACTAAAAGCCCTCCACATGGTGAGAATCTCTAGGGAATCATGCAGGAAGCGTGCCATTGCGGAATAGAGCAACGCGAGGGAAGCAGGTAGGCAAAGGGATGGGCAAAGGGCTATACCTTGAGGAGCATGGATTTTAAACTGCATGCCAATCCGAGCTTCAGCACCAGCCGTTCGAGAAGAAGGTACCAACCATGACCGGCCGGCCCGATTACAGCTCCGCCAAACGCAGCAGTGAGCGCAACTCGCCGCGCGTCAATGCCACCGCGTCCACGATTTTCAATGCGTTGCGCCATAGCTGCGATGGGAGGGAAGCCGAATGTAATGCAGAAACAGGACTCATACGGTATCATGCATTGCGGCAGACGCAGAGTCGCGGAATTGAGAGCTCACCGTCTCCAAGGCCCCATAGCAGCGCTGAAGACGCAGCCTGCGTTAACACTGGGTGCTTGCGGAGTGATCGCTCGTAAGCGGCCCACGCGCGACCAAATGGGTTGAAGCCTCTGCCCGAGATGGCCAGCGCAGAAGACATTTTAAAATGCGCTGTGTAATCTGTAACCTCCTGACGCGTCGTGCGCTGATGCGACTTAACTTCGCTTGCTTTTCACTGGACCCTTTTCCATGCCGGAGCGACTTGGCGCCCCGGTCCAGCCCAAACAGCCTATGATCCGGATAGCCTGGGGTCCACTGAACCCCCGCCAGCGTGATCCAACGGGAGCGCAATGCGCAAGTAAAAAGACGCTGATGACGTAGGCGCGCAACCCTACACGCGACATAGGACCTCGCTTTAGTTTGCAGCGTGACCAACTCATAACCAGTGAGCCAGATAGGACATTGCAGCGGACGCGCGCGTTGTACGCGGGCACAAGCTCGCCAGAGCAACGTAAACGTGGGTCACTTTCCTCCCAGCGCGCCCCATATGAGCTAGGGATACAGAGGAAGACTTGCCCCGCTCACCGCGACCTGAAAGCAGCAGACACGTCAGGCGCTGCGTACACCGCTCAGACTGTCCTTCGCGAACCTACGGCTGCGGTAACCACCGCACAGCACCGTTTAACGTATAACTGGTTGGCTTATACCTCACAGGCCAGAACTGAAAGGACAGCAACAAAAGCCGTAGGAAGCTAGGCTCGCCGTGCCCCAGGAAACAGCGAACACTTCGCCTGACAAGAGTAAGTTAAATTATTTATTGGCAGCTAGTTTAAACGTAACTTAAAAATGATAACCGTTCGTTTTTAGTTCAAGGGATTCCCTCTCATGACTTAATATTTCCGTACGTGGTAGTTTTGGGTCTTCAAATCAAGCTAGGCGCGAGCCCGTGCTGCCCTGGCTGCTTCCTGTGGAGCCTGAAATTGCTGATTAAGCGCTCAACTCCATTGTTGGGAGTGGAGACGGGCTCTCACAGCCGTTACCTCGTATACTTGCAACTTTTTTAAGCTTGATTTGAACCGGCAAGACCTCCGATTAACTATCTGGCCACACCTATACTGTTCAGACACACTGACGATCTTGTCTACGCATCTAGCATAGGCGATTAGATTAGAATCTGCAGAAGTCAGCTTTTCTCTGCCCGATTGCGCACCCTAGCATTGCACTTGCATAGCACAAGAGGAGATGGTGCTCATGAACCATGCAACTACATGTCGGGGTCTTGCTCCCCTGGACTGGGCATCCGCGCGAGGACTTGCAACCCGCTTGGGTCACCGCCGTCCTTGCTCCTCTCCACGACTCCCAATGCCGGGCCTACTTCAGCAGCCCCTGCTAAACCCACGGCATGCCACCCCGCTGCAATTTCCGTTGCGGGCGGGCCTGGGCATGTTCGAGGACCCCATCGTGGCTCGTCCCCCTGCGAATCCCGACCCAGCACTTTTCAACGAAGATTTTTCACCCACTACAATCGACAAGCGCACTTTCGACACCATGGATTTTGCCACATTTTGGATCACGCTAGTCATCTCCATCACGACATACTATCTGGCAGCCAGCCTCGTGGATCTTGGTGAGCACGCAAGCTACCTTAGCGTATTTCGGGAAATCCTCTTTCCATGTGCTACCTACCCCCACCCCGCCCCTGTCCCGCCTGCCTAATCGCCCAATTGCACCACTCGCTTCTTTTTCCCTAAATTCCTGCTGTCATCCCGCACCGAACTCCACCAGCTGATACCATCACCTCTCGACCCAAGTACGGTGTCGTACAGCAGTTCCTTATGTAAAAGGGCACCTACAAGACGTACGAACGTATCGTCGCCATCTTTGCTTTCACTACCCTCAGCACCAAAACGTGTGGGATGAGGAAATCATGCGTGAGAGGGCCTTTGTCCTCCCTTGAAACCAAGACATGGCTGTTCCGTGCCCAAGACATGGCTGTAACGTTTTTGCAAGCGCTCTTGGCGGGTGCATTGTCACATGCCCGATCGGGGATCTTCGTCTGTCTTACTTTGTTTTTTGCCATCGTGGTGGACGCAACAATGGCGGGCGCGCCGTGGGCGACATCACTAACCCAATTCGTCCTCGTCACGTTGCGTGACCTCAAACTTAAGATAAAACCTGCATATATAGCCCGGATTTACATAACGCGAATCGAACCCTGCCGCGCTGTATTCTGTCCTTTTCATGAGCACACAGCCGACACTCACTTCAGAGCCCCAGATGCTCTGCGCCCATCTCCTTCCTGTTCACGTCCCCGTTCTGCTCTTCCCATCTCTCCATCTGCCCTTGTCTCTCCATCTGCCCCGCCACCTACCGCCATCAAAGGCATGTCTTGGTGGCAGGGCATCCTGACCGTCTTCTTTGGGAACCTCATCACGCTGGTGCCCATGGTCCTCAACGCACATCCCGGAACCAAGTACGGCGTTCCGTTTCCCGTACTGGCACGTGCCAGTTTTGGCATCTTGGTACGATGGGTGATGCAGGGATAGCTCTAGGTGTGTACGTGTCAGCTGTTACGACCTGGTATCACCTCGGAGCAGCATTAATACCACTATGACCTCGTAGCAGCATTAATACCACGATCACCTCGTAGCAGCATTAATACCACGATCACCTCGTAGCAGCATTAATACCACGATCACCTCGTAGCAGCATTAATACCACGATCACCTCGTAGCAGCATTAATACCACGATCACCTCGTAGCAGCATTAATACCACGATCACCTCGTAGCAGCATTAATACCACGATCACCTCGTAGCAGCATTAATACCACGATCACCTCGGAGCAGCATTAATACCACGATCACCTCGTAGCAGCATTAATACCACGATCACCTCGGAGCAGCATTAATACCACTATCACCTCGGAGCAGCATTAATACCACGATCACCTCGGAGCAGCATTAATACCACGATCACCTCGTAGCAGCATTAATACCACGATCACCTCGTAGCAGCATTAATACCACGATCACCTCGTAGCAGCATTAATACCACGATCACCTCGTAGCAGCATTAATACCACGATCACCTCGTAGCAGCATTAATACCACGATCACCTCGTAGCAGCATTAATACCACGATCACCTCGTAGCAGCATTAATACCACGATCACCTCGTAGCAGCATTAATACCACGATCACCTCGGAGCAGCATTAATACCACGATCACCTCGGAGCAGCATTAATACCACGATCACCTCGGAGCAGCATTAATACCACGATCACCTCGGAGCAGCATTAATACCACGATCACCTCGGAGCAGCATTAATACCACGATCACCTCGGAGCAGCATTAATACCACGATCACCTCGGAGCAGCATTAATACCACGATCACCTCGTAGCAGCATTAATACCACGATCACCTCGTAGCAGCATTAATACCACGATCACCTCGTAGCAGCATTAATACCACGATCACCTCGGAGCAGCATTAATACCACGATCACCTCGTAGCAGCATTAATACCACGATCGCCTCGTAGCAGCATTAATACCACTATCGCCTCGTAGCAGCATTAATACCACGATCACCTCGTAGCAGCATTAATACCACGATCACCTCGTAGCAGCATTATTACCACTATCACCTCGTAGCAGCATTATTACCACTATCGCCTCGTAGCAGCATTAACCTGCTTATTCTGTCGCTTCTGTCGCTCCGCAGGGCGCCAACCTGCCCTCGCTGTCTCGAGCCATTGTGGCATGTGGCTGGTTCGGCATCCAGACCTGGATTGGCGGTTCGTCCATCTACCAGATGCTCATGGCGGTGACGGGCGGCGCTGTGGCGGGCCCGGTGGTGGGCTGGCTGGGCATTTCCTTGCCCGAGTTTGCGTGCTTCCTGGCGTTCTGGGGCGCGCAGGTGGGGTTAGAAGGTCTCCCTGGCCCCTGCACTGACTGCGCCCCTGCCCTGGGCCCTTCCCCTTGTGTGTTGCCTTCCGCGCTCCTCAGCAAGCAAATCCACACCAGACCCAGAGGAGTCCTGCCGCGCCAGGGAGTCGTTAAAAGAAATCCCGTTTTTCTTGTCACAGTCCTGGGGTCCCGTGTCTGATACTCCCATGCCATGTCAAATCTTGGAGCAACCGTCGTTGGTGTTATGTTCTTTTCGTCAATTGAAGATGTGCTTCGTCTTAAAAAAAAAACCCTGCCCCCAACAACCAACTATCATAGGTGTGGATTGTGCTGCGAGGTATGGAGTCCATCCGTATCCTTGAGAAGTACTCCGCTCCCATCCTCATCGGCCTGTCGCTGGCGCTCATGGGTTGGGCCGTCACCTCGGCGGGCGGCTTTGGACCCATGCTGTCTACGCCATCTCAATTCGGCGCCGGCATGCCCAAGGTGGGGGGTGTAACTGAATGGTGGTAATCTCGATGGTGACGGTGGTGATGGCGCTAGTCGTGACGGCGCTAGTGGTGACGGTGGCGATGGCGCTAGTGGTGACGGCGCTAGTGGTGACGGCAGCACGGTGAGGTGTCCAGGATCAAGATAAACCTAATAAAAAGATACAGTAAAGATAGGCGCCGGTTACCGGGGAGGCTCTCCGAAGGTGAATTCATCGATGCCGGAAAGTGGGTTGCTTCAAGAAGGGGGGAGTTTACGGCTTCGATGAAGAGGTTCATCGACTGCGTATGTGCTGTGCAAGAGGCCGGACGAGAAACACATTGCACCATGCACACAGCCTTGGCTACGCATCTCACACTTGGTCCCAACCGAACTAGCTGTTTTCGTGTCTTGTACCTGACCCGCATACGAGCCCTCGAATTTACTTTACCTCTTCTCCGAGCTGGACTGGACTGGTTCACAAAGGAAACACCAGCACTCTGGGCCATCATGCGCATCGCAGGCGGGCCAATTCTGGTCGGTATTTTGGCCTGCTGTGACCGCCAACGTGGGTTATTGGGCCACTTTGTCGCTCAACATTCCCGACTTCACACGTTACGCCAAGAGCCAGCAAGACCAGGTTATGGGCCAGGCGTTGGGATTGCCGCTGTTCATGGCGCTGTTCACTTTCCTTGGGCTGGCAGTTACCTCGGCCACCGTCGTCATTTACGGCGAGCCCATCATTGATCCCGTGCAGCTGCTGGGACGGATGCAGGGTGTGGTGCCGATTTGCATCTCCCTGTTTGGTGAGCTCGGGCGAACGCATTTGCACGTGGTGTGATTTGATAGGTTGACGTGATGAATGGGGTCGGGGGGTCTGCGGTTGGTTGGGTGTCAATATGGGTTTAGTTGAGCCTGGTAGTGGGTGTGGTGAGGGCCAGGTTCTTTTCTTCATGTGCGGCAACCGGGATGGGAGGACGGGATGCGGGTACGGGTGTGAAAGTACTACATGTGGCTGCAAGTTTGTGGGCTTGCTGGGGGGATTAGAAAGAAGAAACTGCGAAGGGGGCGTGGGGTGTCGGTGGCTTAGGATGCAGGCATGTAGCCGGGTACATGTTCCGGGCAGTGTTGTGGGGTGTCTGGGGCTGCGGGGATATTGTGGAGTATGGTTAAGAAAAGGAAGCCCCGGGCTGTGGGTAACCCCGAGAGGATTAACCCCTCCGCCTCCGGACCTGAAGTAACAGGGCAGGTGAAAATCCTGTTTAGGAAAGCCCTTCTTACTTGCCTCTTCCTTAAGTCACCCTTGCTGCTTGCTGGCCGACCAATTCCCTCCCAATCAAAGGCCTTATGTGGGCCACGTTGACCACCAACATCGCTGCCAACGTGGTTGCGCCCGCCAACGCCTTTGTCAACTGTGCGCCAAAGTTCATTTCCTTTGAGGTATGTCCAACCCAAGCCAAGCAGCCGTCGTCCCTCCCTCTCCCTCTCCCGCTTCACCTCTCGCTCCATCTCTCTCTCTCTCTCTCTCTCCCTCCCTCTTCCTCTCCTCTCCCTTCCCCCCTTCCTCTCCACGGTCCTCATTCCTTGAAAAAAGATGGAGCGTTAAGAGGGAAAGGGCTTCGGGAATGCGTTTAGAAAGTGGAACCGTGCCGCCCACCCATGCAAACCATGTGCACTTTCCTTCTTTCCCGTCACCTATTACTACACGATCCTGCACACCACAATCCTGCGCCTTGACCTCTGTTGCAGCTGTTCGCCTTTTGTTGCGTGTCATTTCTTCTTCCCTTCCGTTTTCTCTTCCCTTCACCCTTTCTCCAGTCCAGCTTAGGTTTTCTTACTGCTTGTTCCGACATAATAATTTACCCATCAGCGACATCATTTCCATCACTCTAGATCTAACGGTCAACCACCTGCATCTCCCCTTCTTTCTGTCGCAGGCCGGAAGCTTCATCACGGCGTTACTGGGCCTTATCATGATGCCCTGGAATCTCGTGTCGTCGACACACGGATTTGTGAACACGTGGCTCATCGGTGAGCGAGCTACTCGACAGCCGACACAGCCCATTGACACAGCCCGGCACACAGGCGCTTCGGTGTATGCCTGGGGGAAGGGGTTTAGTAAATTCAGAACAGAACAGTTAGCAGCCCAGCTGCTGTGGCGGTGAAAAAATGCGCACCTGGAGCATGGGCGCAATTCCGACCTCCTGATCCAGTTCCGACACCGACACCGCAAGGCCCAGACAATCTCCAAAGCTCCTAACAAGCTCCAAACAAATACTGCATCACCCACAGCTGTCGCTCGTCATGCATTCCGAAAACCCCCGATATGAGGTCTGAATCCAACGCCACCACGCCTCATGCACACTTCTGCTTCGCCGCGTTACTGAAAGGCAGGAAAAACACGTCTTTCTCCCTACCCGCCGCACCAGGCTACTCGGCGCTTCTGGGCCCTGTGATTGGCATTGTCATGTCGGATTACTTTTTGGTTCGAAAACGCCAACTCGACATCGACTCTCTGTACGCCACCGGCAGCCGATCCATCTACTGGTACAAGGTAATATAGGGGATCGTCGCGGTGGGCTTTAGGGAAGAAGGACGGGGGGAAATGCAGCTTAAGTGGATGGGTTGGGAAGAGCCATGGAACGTGGGTTGGGTTGAAACCAGTGGGTGGGGTCAAATTATACATGGGTGCTGGGTGCGCTAAGAGTCCAAGGCCTTAACTCTTAACGTCTTGGAATGAAGATCATGTGAGTCGACTTTCGTTTGGCCTGCTGCTTTCCATCACTTAACCTTTCTTCCTGCGACTGCAGAAAAAAGGTCCCAATCGGCGGATGTCAGGCCCCTCCCGTGATGCTCCCACAATGCAACGTTTTTCCATTTTCCGTGGCCCCTCGTCATCTTCGTTGCCTCCGAAGTTTAACTTTCATGGCGGATTTTTCTGTTTTTGCTGCCCTTGTCCCCTTCATCTCGTGCTCAGAATGGCTGGAATGCTGCGGCGCTCTGGGCTATCCTAATCGGCGTGATGCCCACCCTGCCCGGCTTCCTTGCCACCATCGGCGTGGCTTCGGGGCTTCCGGCTATTTTTGGGCAATTGTACGACTGCGCCTGGTTCGTGGGCGTTGCCGTATCGTCCTTAGTGTA